GTATACTTCAGAAGCCCAAAAACATAAAACAAAACAAAACAATCGTCCCTAACTTTAGACAGAAGAGTGCCTGAGAAAACTTTAGGTTCTAAAATATTTCTCCATCTAGAACTTCTCTCTTTCCTTTTATTGAGTTTTAGCTATCAAAGGAAGCAATCAATATTAAGGTCCCTTTTCTTGTTCTGCAAACTGTAGTATTTTCTGAGCTCCAAATTTTATGAATTTAACAAATGCTTCGTTCAACCCACTTTCTACCTGAAGCTTAGGATTGCTTTCTTTTTCTTTTTTGAGTTCATTTTCTTATTAACTTGGTTAATTATCTTATTTGTATAGGCATATTTACTTAGATATTGTTAAATGATTTATCCAGTATTTACAAAATAAATATAATTTCCTAACTTGGTATTCAATTCATATGGTGGGTAGAAGGAAATGGCTGCTTTTGATACTCAGTTGGCATGTTAAGGTTCTACAAGTATAAATGTTAGGGACAATACTGTCTAGGTTGCAGAATTGGAGATGTTTTTCACAAGTGAAGCCAATTCTAAGCTTCATATAGATTCACCTAATTTTTCTCCTAATTTGGATTTCACTTTCATTTTTTCCTTTCATCTTCATGGAAATGGTAACCATTTTGACTTTCCATTTGGCTCAACAATGATCCTTCAAAGTGCATCTGCTCTGGGAGGCCAGTGAATTCCATGGACTTTACATGCAGTCCTCATCTAGAATCCTTTTCTTAGTAATCTTGAACTGCATCTAGACAAACATTTAATTTTTTTTGGGAAGTGGTTATCATCATTTCTGTAAAGAGAAAATGTAAGAGGTAACCGATTGCATAGAAAGTTTAATATGGGTACTCCTTACTTTTGATGATAGAAGGAGGACTATAGTGATTTGGAAAAGATTATGCTTGAATAATTACAGTCTTCTGTTTTTTCTTTTTAAAATAAGAAAAAAATTTAAAAAGAAAGAAAAATTCTAGCCTTAAGTCTCACGTCAAGTCCAGTGATGGTACCAGTGGGACCGTATGCTATTTAAAACTCTTGAATAGAAATTAATGAAAATACAAATTCAGAAGTCATAAACATAACAGAATTCACAGAGCCTTTGAAGTTAGGGTAATACATAAGGTAATCTCAGTATAGCAAGTCTAAACTTGTACCACTGTACTTTTTTTTACACTGAATCCATTACATGATTTCTGGATTTCTTTTGGAATATGAATTTTGTGTTATAGGTGAAAAAACTTTACCAATTTACCTTCTTGCCAGCAAGCTTTATTTCTCTGCTTCGTTGTTATGACTGTATATTATTTTTAAATCTTTGCTAATTTTATATGTAAAGAAATTTGAAATATGGTTTTGATCTGCACTTCTTTGATTGCTAATATTGGCCAGTTTTTACGTACATATTGATCCTTTGTATTTCTTTTCACTAAATTATATTTTTATGTCTTTTCACCATTTTCTCTTGAAAACTCAATGTTTATATTAATAACTTATGAAAGCTTTTTATATAGTAAGCATTTCAATCATGTGGATGTCAATTATGTTGAAAAAGTTTTTCAACTATTATTTTGTTTATCATGAAAAGATTTTTACTGTTGGTGTTTTGATCTGCATATTTTAAATTTTCAGTTATTTTGTTATTTTGTTTTTTAATCTTTGGTTTATAGAATAAAGTTCTCCAACCACATATTATTTAAGTACTTGCTTATTTGCACTGAAAAAATGTTGTATATCTTGGATTTATTTTGGTATGGGATGAGATAAGTTACTGTCTTTTTCCTTAATATCTAAATATCATCATGGCACACTACAGGTCTGTCACATTATTTGTCCTTTTTATTTTCTCAGTACCAGGATTAATATATTTGTTCTTGCTGGCAATTCAGGTCAACCAGTAATATAATAGGAAATAACATACCTAAATGACTTAACATACACAAAAGTGAATGAAATATTTATTGGGGACTTAGAAAATTGTATATTTTCTAGTCTTTGAGAGTAAACAGATAAAGCCACTTAAATACATTCCTCTATGTTATGTCTTCTTCTACTTTCTCATGGGTAGGGAATTAGTGTTTCAGAGACCATTGCACAAAACCTGTAGTAAGCGAACTTGGGATCTCAGTAGTGTAACTGAATTTTGCAAATATGCAATTCCACTTTTGATATAAGATGAAACCAAGCATGTATTTTTAACACGCTAAATTTCTCCTTGTGAGTTATGTTTCTGTAAAGTCAATAATTGTGAACAAGAGCACTATGACCCCTTCTTCTAAAATATTTGTTATTTTATGCATTTTCCTTATTCTTATAACTGTGTCCATGTAAGTCTAGGGACACAGTACCACCTATCTGCTTATAAACAGATTAAGCGCCCTCACTAAGGTTCTGTTTTGTCAAAGTACAAAAACCTTGAACAATTGCAATTATGTATTCATTCATATCTATGCTTGCCTCTTTATATCTTTGTGTATTACCTGAGATTGAAAATTGTCATCTAAGGAAATCCTTGTACACTGTGTCACAGACGATAGTTGATAAATAAGCATTTGGAGTTCATAGTAATCATAAAGACAATGTGCACAAAATATTTCCTTATGTCTTCACAGTCTTGTGTACAGAGAATGTTGACATTACTCAGAATGACTTGGGCCCACTATTAATCTGACGACATTCTCTTTAACTGAGTCTTCTTTTTTGTCCTTTTAAACTCTCTTTTGTGACCCTTTTATTATTTTACCAGTTAATAAAGAGTTCACTGATATTTGGATTTTCTTTCAATTTTATCTTTGTATAAGAAACCCTCTTTCAAAGAAACCCTATGTCAACTCAAAATAATAATTGGAAATATAGAAAGATAATTCGTGAACTATCCCAGAAAAACGCAGTCTATCTTAAGGCAGCTGCGATAAAGAATGAGGTAGAAAAGCAAAAATCTGTGCTATACTAGGGGAAGCCCTTTATAGCCCATTGTTAATGGCTTAGACTGCCAAGGTCCAGAATGACTTGTGACTGAATAGAAATGAATAGCATAGATTTTTAAATACTCTAAAACTCAGTACAAAATTTGGTTAGATCTAATTATGTAATTTGTTTTGGAGAGGAGAGAGAGAGACATTGGCTTTAGTTACATATTCATAGATACCTGGGACCACAAAATGGTAAAAATCCGCAAATATGGAGTAACTAGAGTTATAAGACATACAGACATGCTCTTTTATATCCTGTAAAGAATGGAATGTTGCTTTTCATTTATTTTCTTTGGCATAATCCTCCTTTTGGTGAATTGAATGCTTTTAGTGTTTTTTGTTCTTGCTGTTGTTTACGCTTGCAATCATGAGCAACTTAGGCAATATTTTTGAACTCCTTGGACTTGCAAATCAGTAGAACATTGCCATAAGTGTTCTGCATGGTCTTTGTGAGGAGAAGACAAGGCAGAGGGCAGCAAGGAGCACCCTTGTACCCTTTGGCCTAGGCTGGGCCTCATCAGTTGGCACTGTCATTCTAGATGCTGAGAAGCCCAACCAGTTTGACATCAGGAAGATCCATTGACAAACGTCATGGAAAAAACAGAATCCTTGTACGATGTCCAAATCCTCTACATACCTAAATTGACAAAAGAGGAGGGTATACAAGAGGAGCATGAGTCACCGAAATATACTAGTTGAATTCTCAGATGACCTAATGCCTAGTGCACATATCTTCTCTCAACAGCTGCTTTCATTGGCTTCTTCAGAGGATGGAAAGCCCCTATAATGCACTTGGTAAGTTGTGCCAAATTGATGAAATTCTGGCAGAAGCAGGAAGGAGAAACATGCTCCCCACCTGGCACTCGGCTTAGTGATAAAGTTTGATGACCATCATATATCTCCTGTCACATGTTTGGCCTTTCCATAAGGGGACTGACAGACCTACCTATCAATCGTGGAATCAATTTCAACCCTCTTAAAATATGTATGAGTTAGCAGGGTATGTTTTAAAGTCCTTCCCATGAAATTTGTTTCTAAATTGCTTGCCTTCAAAACATGATTTCAAGTATTCTTTAGGTGCTGAGCATCTTTTGTAGATGTGTTTTTCAAACTAAACTGAAATATCTGTTTCTGTGGCTCTCAGTATAACCTCGATAACTTTAGAAATAAAAGCCAATGGTTATGATTTGTGTGAACTAAGAGGACGGTTGTTATGTCAAAAATAAATACCTCCTCCATGGAAAATTTCCCTCAGCACAAAAGAAGAATGTGCCTGGATCTTTCTAATTTTGACATTTATTTAGAATTTTTGGTTGATTCTGTGACACTAGATAAACCAAAAAAAAAAAAAAATTGGAATGAGCTTTGGTTTCTAATATTTTTCAGACAAGAGATCTAAAGTAAATTCAAGACTAAATATTGGACATGGAACTGCAAAACTCTGAATGTAGGTATGGCTTTAGAGAAAACTGGTTTCAGAGTAAGTGCACAGAAGATTCAGTGATGTTTGCATCACATGATCCTGCAGTATTTTTATACATCATCCTCTTATGATTTTTCTTTCAAATTAAAGATACAGACACATGCAGATTAATGTCATCATAATGGTAGAACAGCATTAGCCTTGATAATGTGGGGAGAAAAAATGGAAGCAAAATTTAGAAGCATCTTGCTCTACAAAAGACATTATTCTAATAGAGATCACAAATGTCCAGCATAAAGTAATGTTAAACTCAGATGACATGACATTATATATTTGTCTTTAAAAGTAAGCAAATGACTTTCTTGATATTTCATCCTAAATTGCTCTTATATTTGAGGTAAAATACTCCTTAGAGTAAGGTATTTTTAAAACATTGGAAGTGGAACAGGAACTTAATCATTTTTATAGAATACAGAATGTACAGGTATGGATTCTCTGTGATGCATTTGATCACTATATATACTTAAAATATACCAATACAATTTGATTGGGAAAAAATAAAAACAAAAACTCCCACCCAATACAGAATAGACAAGATGAAACAGATGAAGCTATTTTATTGAATCAGCTAAAAGATACAAATCAGTTGTGATTATAAAAATTACACAAAGTCAAATGGAACTTAATCATAAATTTATGCTTATAGCTCAATATTTGCAAAGCTTACAGATTATCTGAATTATTCACTAAGACCTAAACTTGATGTTTTTCTAATTCTACAGGATAAATGTGGGTGTACTGTCTTGCCAGTGTTCAAAAAGCGTGTTTCTTAAAAATGATCATCTGATTATGTCGTGTCAGAAGCGTGAGTGGATTCTTGGATGAGCTTCTTCTTGGCTGCATCAGAATGAGGCTTTCACCTCTCTGCCCTTCACGGGCTGTGGCGGGCGGTTGTTGTGCTGTATGGGGACAGCTTTGTCACCTTCGGTATTTGACAGAAGACTGCGGAACTGTGCCAGCTGAAGGGATATAATATTTAAAGAATTAAGAACTGTTAACGTCTCACAAAACACTGTATCTGTAGTATAATTAATGCACTGATATTTGGAAAGCTAAACTAAGGATTGCATTGGCTTCACCAGTGGTAGGAGCCATCACATTTCTTTGCATTAAAGATTTTGCTTAAATTATTAATGATTCATTGGGCTACAATACCATCTTTGTTGCTTTTCAACTGTGGTGCTTTGGGTGAGTAATGATAAGTTCTGTGCCTTACTTTTTACTTCATTGAGTTGTAAAGATTAAATGGGCTGATACATAGTATTTGTTCAATTATAGTTAGCTGTGGCCGTAATGTTTGCCCTATATGTTTTTACAAGAAATGACTAACAAAATACATGCAAGATGCCTACTAAGTAGTAGTTTGATCAATGATAATTATTGTTATCACTATAAAGAATAATTAATGTCACATTTTGGTATATATTTAAAAATTTAAGCTTGAAAAAAGCATACCAGTTATAAAAGTATGCAAACCGAGAGCTACACTTCCCTAAAGTCTTGTGGGTCCTTTGTTTCTTAAATTAAGAAGACATTTAACATGGTTAGGCTTTTCCTTATTAAAGAAAATATTGGGAGTTATGAATCTCATGTTTTTCTTTTCTTGTTTTGTTTCTTTTTTTTTTTCTCTTCCTATGTATTTCTTTAGGACTATGGAGTGAACCCAGAGACTTCGACTGAGTTACATCTCTAGCTGACCTTCAATTTTTAATTTTGAGACAGGGTCTCAGCAAGTCAACAAGTTTCCCAGAATGGGCTGGAATTTGCCATCCTCCTGCATAAACCTCCAGAGGGCTGGGATTACACATGTGTATCACTATGCTTGACTCCATGCTTTATTTTTTGCATAAAAATGAAATAGACAGTATTATACTTCATTTTTGGAGCATAGAGAGGGTCTTTTATAGTTGGAAGGGGGGGGGAAAGCCACTCAAAAACCTAACTGAGATAATAATATTCCCTGTTGACTCCATCAGTTGAAGTGATCATCCAGTCTCAAATCTCAGTCCTTCTCCTTTGACACTGTACCTGTTCCGAGCTGACACTGATGGTCTCTTTACAGACGATCCAGGTCACACTTTCATGGAGAGGAGGATGAGTCAGGGAGCCAAAATAGGTCCAGTAATCCAGGGATGAAGGAAGGAGAACGGAGGGGTCAAAATTTGTGAATGGGGCTCGTTTGCCCTGAGAAAATAAAGAAGAGTGTACACGCACACCTTCATTATCATTTCATGATGTAAAATATTTGTATCAATATGTAGTGGAAGAGAAAATACATTCTCAAAAGTGTAAACTATCTAGACATTTTTAGCTAAGGTTTTAACTTTTTTTTACTATGTATTGTTTCATAATTGGTGTGTTGTAGATATAAACAATACAAAGAATAGAAAAGACAGAAATTTTGGCCAACAAATCTTCCTTTCTTCATTTGGTTGAAGATAAACAAAGGTAAAAATTCTTTTTTATAATCCATATTCATGAAAAGCTATTTAATATTGATATCTAACATAAAATATTTTTCTCCTCTAGGAGGATAAATTCTGTTCTAGTGAAAAATATTTATTGACATGATCACTGGTCACATTTGAGTTATATTCTCTCCATTATTCCTGATTGGTTATCATAGAACCAACTATTATATAGCAATAGTCTATGTACTTGGGATTTTAGCTGATTATTCTGAGTTTCCCAGATAGATGTCAGTTATTATATTATCTGTCCACGACGATATTTTCTTCTTTGGTTCTTCAATATTTATTGTAAGATACACATATTTTTTTCCTCACTTAATTGCATTGCTTGGAATGCCGATTATAACATGTAATTGTGAGGGTCACAATTTTTGATTGAAATGTAAGTGCTTCAGTTTTATTATTAAGTTTTTGAAGTTTAATTCAAGTTTTTAGGTAGTATCTTTTATCAAGTGGGAGTTTTCGTTTCTTTTGTTTTACCCTCAAAAATGAGCATCAAATTTTCTCCAATGTTTTTTAATTTAATGTTTAATGTTCTTTGTTAAATTTCATGAATTATATTATACTAAATATAATGAATATAATGAATTACATTAGATGTTCTATTACTGATTCATCCTCATATTTATGGACTAAACTCTACAAGTTTAGAAACATTAACTCAATGCACTATTGAAACTAACTTGCTATAATTAATCTTAAGGTTGCCTTTAGCTATATTCGTAAGAAAAATTAGTCTACAATTTTCTTTTTGTCATACTCTTTACCCGAATTTGGTATTAAGTTTCATGAAGTTTTTTGTCTGTACTGTCATCTGGGCAGTTACTTGACACTTACATGACTGTTACTTAAAAGCAGAATAAACATAAAATTGTCTGGGCCTGGAAAATTTTTTTTTAAATAAACACATTGATTTCCTAGGTTTTGAGTCTATTTAGATTTTTTAGCCTCATTTTGAGTCAAGTATCTTTATATTTTATAGCAGACTACTTATTTTATCTGAATCTTAAAATTTTCTGGTATAATGCTATAGTTTTGTCATTAAAGTTTTTTTTCTATAACTTTAGTTATGTCTTATTCTTTAAAAACTTTTGTTTACAATAGTATTTTGTATATATGCCACTTGTCCTTTACTGTAGTTGTCAAAAGTATGCCATTTTTCTTGGTTATTCCAAGGAAACAACTTTTCATTTTATAATTAGTATTTTATTTTGTATTCACTCATCATTTGAAATTTTTTATTTCATGCTTTTATATCTTCACTACTTATTTTCTTTTCATATATAGTTTTTAAAAATAGTTTTGAGTTGGGTCATGTGTATATACTTATTTAAACTTTAGACTTATCTCAGATCAGCACCAAACAAACTTATTTACATAGTAGTAACAAGTCTTTGCACTGTGAAAAAAATGACAAAATTCTGACTTATGCATTAAGTATTTACTGTTAAAGCAATGAAAGAATAGATTTTCTGGAAAATTCTCTTTTTTAGGTTAGTTGACTATCATGATCATTAAATATTGCATGTTAATTCGCAAGAATATACTACACTTGTAAACTTTTGTATTTCTAAAAAATATGGATAGTTTCATTTGGATGTGGTGTTCCCAGCAAGATTTAATGACTAAGCAACCTTCTTTTGTACTTGTCAAAATCAACAAAAAACATGCAAACAAAACAAATTCCTGAATTAGAGTTTCTCAGGCACAGGTATAGTATTTACACAATACATTGATTTTTCAAGTTGGTAACTTTTACAACCAGCCTAAGTGCTCCCTCTTCATATGTGTAACTGAGAGATTTTCATACTTCTATGTATATTGCTCTTAGAATTAAACTATCTTGTTTAGTTCATTTACCTTAGTTTTAACTTCACCTAAGGCATCAAGTACTTTCTGCAGCTTTGCGTTGGCCTGGCCAACCTAGAAATTAAAAAAAAAAAATTAGTGTTAAACACATATTAGTATTAAACTAAATTTTAAGTTTTTAAAATTAACAATAACTGAAAAGAGGTAAGGTAATTTCTTTTTGTTCTGGGAGACAGAATTTTAGGTGTGTGTTTTTGCAGGCCCTTGGACTCAGGCTAATCACAGGTAGAGTAACAAATGAAGTGCTTGGTTGGAATTTAATTATAGACAAAGATGTTCAAAGCTTTACAAGCTAAATCTAGGAATAGAGTGAAATTGTGATGTAAAAGCCCAAAACACTTCATTTTTGTCTTTTCTATTTCTAAATTAGCACATTTTGCCATATTCTGAGCACTCAGTAAAATTGATGAATCGCTGTAATTTCAAAAGTGATGTAATTGATCAAACATACTCAATGATTTTTTTATATAACTTTTAAAGGACTCTTCAATAAAGGATTTAAGCACCATCTCCCATTTAAAAAAATCAATTGAACTTCTTGGGAAAAATTCTCTTAATATTTCTTTCTGATGAAATATTAAATTAATAAACTCCTAAGCTTGAGGTAAGAAATTCGGAGAAAGGGGAATCTGGAAAAACGGGAAAATAGAAATTCTTTTTTCTCTGTGACAACTTCCTATTCCATCCCTACTTAAAAATGTGTTTTAAGAGGAAAAAAACATAGAAACAAGACAGTAACATATAAAGAAAAAGTTTCTTTAACCATAAGTAAAATGGGAACATTCCAAAGAAGACTCTTCAAACGTCCTTTGCTTTATGTCGTGTTCTTTGAGGTCTGATTACTAAGTAGTAGTATTATCTGAGTTCCATAGGTATCTGTAACTCACCTTAATCAAAACACCAATAATTGCTAACCCATCAGGCTTTGAGATGGCTTCAGCCGCACTGGAGTACTTCACCGAATTCCAGTGAACAAGGTGAAGCTAAAAATGATAATGTAGTTAGTTAATTACTTATGCAAGGATGAGGACAAAGGGAAATAATGTTAGCCTGTTAATATATGAAGATATCTATGTTCCACTCTTACAAAGGGGGATCTGTATGCTGTACAATGTAAACAAATTACAATTCCTAAAATCAGTGAGTAAATTTCTTTTCCTACAGGGACATGAACTATTTAATATTATCTCTTTTGGTATTAAAAATAACAGGAAAAAATCTGACCACCTGTCCTTTGGACAAAAACTGAAGTTGTTTTCTCCCTTATGAGAAAGGGCTCGTGGACATCCTGGCAGCCTGGGCACATTAGTGCCCTTCTCATGCATCTCTCAAATCAAACTGCAGCCTGAACTGTGTGGAACTCTAGACTTGTATATCCAACAGTGTCTGCATGCCTTTTTGATATTCTTTTGATATTTCTACATGAATATCTCAAACTCAACACAATCAAAATAGAACTCTTGACTTGTATTTGCCAAACCTGTTTCATTTTCTCTTCTTAGGAGAAGATAGCATTATGCATTTAATTGTTCAACCAAAAAGTATTTGCGTAGTTGTCATCAATGTTTTATTTTCAAATACTGTATCTCAGATTAGATCTCACTTGTTCAAAATGTCCAGTGTTTTCACTAGGTACTTGTTTTCTCTGGAGTTTCCTTTCCCATAGTCTTTGAATGGCAGACCTTGTTTCTAATTAAGTTGAACTCAAATCCTACTCTTCAGAGAATCTTTACTCAACCACCCATTACTAAGAGAACATCGTGAATAAAATCAAGTCTTTCAATATTGCTTATTTGATTTTCTTTTTACTTCTACCTCTTCCTTTCTCTTTCTTTCCTTTTTTTCTTTCTCTTTGCTTCCTTCCTTTTAAAGTTCTCTTTTACTTATTAAGCTCAAGTTCTGGTACCAAATTCTTTTATAAACAGCATCTAGCTTATTATAAGTGCTCAATAAATATTTATTGAATGAAAAAAAAAACAAAAAACCGCTTCACGGAGATCACTCACAGTTCTATCTGAAGTGCCATTTCATTCTAATATCCTTTGGTCATGCCTGTCTAGAATCTGTTCTTATTCTTAATTGACTATTTCTATGTATATAATACCATGATGCTTTTGTAAATATTATTTCAATTTGCTACTGTACTTATTTAATCATAGTCCTTTATGCACACACCACCCTGCTTGAGGAGTTCTTGCTTGTGTTCTAACTATAGAAATGTAATTAACTTTACTGAGTACTTACAATGTGAAGAAAGCTGGTCTAAGTGTGCCTTCAATGGGTTTACTCACCCCATTGTTTCAGCAGGTGTGTGAATTAGCTATTAATATTATCTTGTTTCCCTTGATGAGAAGATTGGAACACAGAATGATTCTGTCCAAATTTACAAGGCCCATAAGTGTCAGGCATTTGATTCAAACTCTGAGAGTCAGCTGAGGAGCTTGCATTCTTAATCCCTGCACTGCCTCTCAACCTGGTATATGATATGTACCACATATAGGGTTATTGAATTGTGACATGTTGAACTTTGTGTCCAAGTGACTCTACACCAGTCCAGATTATTTTTATTTCTCTCAATTTAGGGCTGGGGATTTAGCTCAGCGGCATAAGTGCCTGCCTTGCAAGTGTGTGGTAGTCAGTTCAATCCCCGGTACTGATAAAGAAGAAAAAGACAAAAAAATGGTATATTTCTCTCAATTTAGATGAATCACTAGTTCCAATTTCCTAGCTACTACCAAGTATTCCTTCAAAAATGTAGGTTCCTTGCCCATTTAATTTCATTATACCTACTTTTCATTTCATATGAAAGAACTGGGGAATAAATATTAAATATATATCTACAGTGTTGAAAGATATTATCTAAATTTATAATATAAAACAAGTTATATTTGCAAAGAATTCCCAAGTCATCCAACAGAGTAAAAGATGCATATATTTTATAAACTCCTTAGAGAAAAATGTCTTACACAACTACTTTTACTGGTGCATAAGGTACAAGGAGTATGTATTCACATATTTTTTAGTAAAAACAAAAAATATTACAGTGGAAAACAAATCAGATGACATTATAATCATCTATCAACAGAGGCTGATTAAATAAATTCTGATGTATTTATGCAGTTAAAATCCCACAGACATTACAAAGTGAGATGGAATTAAATCTCTTGATTTGAGAAAATGGTCATGATAAATTGGTAAATAGGAAAAACAGTATGTCCTGCTATTGCCAAGCATGGTATGTCTGTGTTTGATTTTAGTGTAATCTGGGAGTTCCTAATGAAAACTGGAATAATACTTCGTTTGGTGTCCTTATGATAGTGGTTTATATAAAAATAGAACTGCTTTTGGGAGAACTGAGGGTGATTATAAATTCTATTTACTAAATTACATTACCTCTGCAGAATACTTGGCTCCATCCACCAGGTGCTCAGAACCATATTCATCTGTACTGCCCCAGTGAAAATGGAACTGGGAGAGCCTGTAGCTGTCAGAGAGAGGGCCGCCTTTCAGTACTGGAAGAAAAGGGAATAGTGGTAGTCTGAAGATCATGAAATCCAGCTCATCCTTGCAAAAACTAACACTAAACTGTCTTGATCTGAAATGAAAATAAACACTAGAGCTAAAGTTTTCATCCTTTTTGTCCACTATATCCATGATGGCACTGTTCTCTAGGGTGCACGACCAACTGTGACATTGATAAGACAATTCCCAGCACTTGAGCTACGGCTGTGCCTGTTTCCATTTCTAAGAAAGCATAGTGCAAGGTGAGTGAATTGTATAATTACAGAGCTTTCTTCGAAATTCTGCAGTTTGAAAATTCATCAATTCTTTCAACAAAAACTGCATAGGTAGTATTCATCAAAATCTATGGTAGTTTATTTTGAATAACCAATTATTCATTACAAACCTGATACTTGATAAAAACACCACAGTGTATCTTGACAGCTATACTGAGAACCCCTAACCAGGGGCTGAAAGAAATGTAAACACATATACCAGACCTAATCTGGTATTAATAAGAGACATAGCTCCAAATGCACCTAACATTTAGGCTCAGAACTTAGTAGAAAAATGCTAAAACCAGTATGGCCTTTTATGTCAATAGTATTGTCCTATGAAATTGCCATTTAGTGATCGATTCAATGATCACTGATGAAAAACTGACTATGTAGCTGTCAATGTGCCTGATCCTGAGGTATGAGAATTGCAGTGTTATCCTTCTGCCTGTCTTTTCCACTGTGCTAATCCACTTTCATTTCAACCAGAATGTAATAGCTCTTTCAGTTTTTATCTTCATAACAATTTACTCACTAGGCTATTTGGCTGTTTATAGAAAAATGAAGTAAACATAAAGATCCTGGCATAGAGGAAGAGATGGGGAAGTATTATTAAGTCTCTAAGTGTTTTTTAAAGGAGACAAATCTAGGGATCCAAAAAACTATCTTTATCTTTCTGGACACTTTCCAGAAATACAAACTGTTTCACCAGATAGCAGCATGAAATATTTAAGATGACTGTTGGTGCTCTCCACAATTCATTGTTTCAGTTTCCTCAGTAAATTTTAGGAAAAAATATCAGAGCAGTCTTTGAACTCACCTGATTTATCATCCTCAAAATTCACATGGAAGGAATGTCCCACGTTGACAATTTCTTTGGCACCAGCTGGATTGTAAGAGATGCTGATGGGCTTTAGAGAGGTGTCATGTTTGACAGCACTAGTTTCAATGTCAATGGGAGACTGGTTATTTCCATTGGCAATGGGGTACAGCTTGCTCCATTGTTCAGGACCTACCAGGACAAGTGTAGGCATATAATCAAACCATTATTGAATGCTTGATTCCAGGTTCTAGAACCCTACCTGTTTGCTTATTAGATTATGGTTTATCCAGATGTGATAAATGACATTGAGTTAATTGGGAATTCTGTGACAATATCCTTTTTCTATACTGTACTGTAAAACAGTGTATCTGTCAATACCAGCAGTATAGGCCTAAACACATAGCCCTTAGGAGTAGGTTATACATATTTCATGAACAATAGATTTATAAAATGTATACTGAATGTACTTTATAAATATTTAGGCCCCAAAGACCAACTACTAAAGTTTCTTACAATGATTATTATTATTAAAACCAGGCAATCCAAGTCATCAAACTGTGGTTGTCTTATTAAGTGCTTAACATATCTTCTATTAGAAAATACAATCAAATATTATTTTAATCTATATGAAAAGAAATGTTCTTACCATTTTGGCCATCATATCCCCAGTCACTAGACATGATCTTCTATTTAGTTTTCTTTTTCTGAAAACAAAAATAAGAACTGGAATAACTAGTTGCAACTGAGCATGTAGTAGGTTCTGTACTCTATCACTTGGGTTTTTATAGAAATGTTTCTGCCCTTAAAAGGCTACTATTGCATCATCTCTGCATATCAGGAAGTATATCTAAAAAAGATGTTGTAAAAATGTTTACAAAAGTTAGTTGAGTTCCAATCATTTTATTATACTATAAAAAGAAATATCAAAATCATAGATTTTATTAACCTAAATCCTGTTCCATTCTAGAAGATATGGTTGAATATTATTGTATGAAATTCTTTGGATTTCATTTTTTTGTGGGCGAGGTACCAGAGATCAAACTCATGACCTTGCTTTTGCCAGCTAAGCGCTTATGTTGCTTAGCTAAATTCTCAGCCCTGGATTTCTTAAATTAAAAATACTTTGCACAATTACAATCAAATTCTGCCTTTGCTAGATAGTTGAGGAATATTAGTAATAGTAATTTGTAAAGAGATAAAATTTACAAGTTTACATGCTGATCTGACTAGTAACATAGTGTTAATTTAGAATCAGATAAAAAACACTGTTTTTAATGCATATTATTCATACTGGCACATTTCACAAACATGTACAATGAAAATAAATTTCTTTGGTCTGGAGAAATATTGGAATTTATAAGTAGAGAAAAATGTATTAGTATTGAACTTAAAGTGGCCTAATATTTTACATGTCAAATACGTAGATTAAAAGCCTTCTCATTTATTGTCGTATAAAAATTTACAAAACACTTTCATACTACTTTATTTTTGTATCTAACACAAAACTGTATAAAGAACTACATTTCGTAGTTGAGAGATGTTGAGAAATTGCACTATTACTAGCAAGAAACCAAGAATTCAGCCATGCTTCCTTCCCTATACCTGATCAATCACCACATGAATGGCTTAACATCCATATGGGGTGGTAATTCCTGTAAAGTTTTAGTTACAAAATTGCTTTGCCACATCACGTGAACTCTGAAGTTGAAGATCTAATTCTTTTTCTGTGCGCACAAGTCTCTTAAGACCAATTTATAAGGTGTTATCAAAAGATATGGTGAATATTTAAAATAAAAATAAATTTTGTAGGGCTGGGGATATAGCTCAGTAGCATAAGCACCTGGCTGCCAAGGTCCTAGTTTGATTTCCCATACCATAATAATAATAATAATAATGCTTTTGTAAAAGAGATGTTGCCATTAACCCTTCTCAAAATGCTCACTTTGAACACACTTATCCATTGTACTTGCCACTTTCTGAAGCAGTTCTACAAATCTTTTATTGTGCTGCCAGTGTCTTGAAGTAATTTAAAACATTTATCACTCTCAGGAAGTCATGAGTTCGATCCCCGGTACCGATAAAAAGGAAAAAGACAAAAAAAAAAAAAAAAAAAACCCAAAAAAACCCAAAAAACCATTTATCACTCATGGTCATTTTGACTTTGGGAAAGAACCAGAAGCTGCACAGTGCCCAATTCAAATAACGTGGATAAGGACACAACGCATTGTTTTTATGTGACAGAAATTGCCATAAACATTTTGAATTGATTGAGACTGTTGAGGCAACCACAAAAAGACAGTCGTGAAAGAGAGCTGCCTCATCAAGTGGGAAGAACAACAGGGTAAGGGTGTGGAAGTGTGATGGAGAGTTCTGAGGTGGATAATGGCAATGTGATTTTTACTGTACTGAACTTAGACATTCACTATGCCTTTTGATCTCAGCTAGTAGTCTGCATCAAGGTGAGACCTGACAACTGTTGCATGTTAAGAAATGCCACAAGATTTTTTCAGGCAGATGTGAAAAATTAATTAGGACTATTGGACTCCTGCTAGGTCTTCAAACAAGAAAAATAAGTTTCAAAAATAAGTAATTTAATACTCTAGAATTGTCTGAGTTGCTTGCAATCCCTGAAGGAAGACGAAAGTCAGGAGCAGTTTTTAGCAAGGCTGACGGGAGAGTTGATGAGTTGGTTTTCTTTTGGGGCCTTTGGGGCCTATAAGTGTCCTCCTCATAGGAAGAGTGGACAATGGCTCATTAATAACCACAGAGTGAGAAGAGGCCCAAGTTCCCATTTGACAGTATGAGGCACAAGGTGATTTTACTTAAAGGGAAACTTTTAAACATTCTAATTTTTCTGATTTGATAGGTAACCTTGTATACACATTGAGTATAACATTATATTTTGAGGTATATATACATTATGGAATAACTTGATCTAGTTGATTAATAATTGTATAATTGCATTCATACAGTTATTTTGTGGCTCATACAGTTATTTTTGTGGTAATAGTGCTTAAAATCCAATCTGTATTTTTTGAGTATACAATAATTGAACATTATATAGTTACCTTGCTGTATACTAGATCTATTGAATTTATTCTGCCCATCTAGGTATAATCATGTCTCCTTTGACCAACTTCTTCAAACTTTGAATTGAACTATAACCTGATCATATTTAGACAAAGACAACCCCCTTTTCATTACATGATTACATGATGAATCACCACATGAATGTTTTAACATTCACATAGGATGGTAATTCATGTACAGTTTTAGCTACAAAACTGTTTTGACCCCTATTATGATCCTTTATTTTATTATGTACACGGGGTGTGTTTGAGTACTCTCACAAGCAAAAAATTAAAGAAAGGATGTAAAATTTAATGAGTACCTATAATTGAAACCCTAAACCTCCTCATTTACCTTTATTATTCTTTTTCTGCTAAGAAACTTGGTTTTTCTAGGCTTTATATCTAAGCTAAATCCAAAATTAAACATTTTGGGTTCATTTAACTTCCACCTTCAAGACCTATGGACTCCTCCCGGTATAATTTTCCAGGGCTGTGATCTTTGAACTGCTGCTGCATACTGAGGTGGCATTAACACTTTTCTTCTTCTAGATTGCTTATTTCCACAGGCCATCAAATACATAAACACGTACGGAAGAAGTATAATTTTTCCTGAAAGGCCATTTTGAATGAATCCAGATGTATTTGAAACTTAGAGCTACTAGGCTGATGAAAAAGTTACATGTTTAGAAATGTAACACAGAATTACGTGAGTACTTTTGTTAGAGAATGCTATTGACATTAAGAAAGATCACAAACACTAAGGAAAATTTATTATCGTGGAGGACAGTTTCACAGTGTATTAACGCCAGAGTGTGTTGGTATAGTTTAGAAAAGAGTATTGTGCATTTATTCAGTGATTTCTGTTTGCTGGGTCCTCTAAAATAATTATCTAATCCAATTCTCACACCAGACCTAGAGCCTGGCTAACTTATAAAAATGATATATCTGAAGGTCAGAAAAATTCAAGGAGCAGAATCAGGATTTGAATAAATTTCTATTTACCTTCAAAGCCTGGCACCCGGTCCTCTTTTTCCCATTCTATCACTGAGCTATCACTATCAAGCTTACTATGACATTTTCTTTGAAGTTAGCTAAAAGTTTATTATGTTTATTTTTATTACCACTGATAGAGAGCTTTTCCTGGGCCTTGTCACAGTCTGGGAAGTTTATATTTGTAATCCATTGGAAATGTTATTGGAATTAACTTACTCTAGTCTACTACTACTATTGTAATTAACTTACTCCAATCTACTACTTCCAGTATAATCCATGGGGGAGAATAAATACACTAACACATATTTATAATTATGGGGATCTCAGGGAGTCCTAAGTCCCGGCTGGTAGTGGCTCATCAGAACAAAGGCCTTGTCCTAGGGCTTAACTCAGATTTTGTGAAAATGAAGTAGCTTGAAGGTGAATGATTATGAGAATGGTGCGAAGAATACTAGTATGTGAGCTGGGCTAGCTAGGGGGACTGAAAGCACCTCTTCAGTAGCAGAGAGAAAGATATGCAGAAAGACCAATCTAAGTAAAACTGCCCTGGGGAGTCATAGCCTCTTATCTCGAGGCTCAAACGGCTGACAGCCCTGGAGCCATGGCTCTTCATCTTGCCTGGCTCAACCATGTTTTGGAAGTCACAGGGTGGGGACACAGTGACTGTTGCCTAGCTTCAAAGATTATACAACAGCACCTCAGTTAGCCCTATTTACATTGTTTAGAGCCAGCTGAAAGGAAAAGCAAATGGCCCAGCCAGGTCTGTATATATCAGTACATAGAGATAGGGCTGGGTTTAGCTAAAGTGGAGGTAACTGGCTCTTTGTGATTATAAAATATGTCTTGCTCCATTTTGGACTCGAGGTTGGGGGCTCTGGGGAGCTCATTTGTGGATTACAAGGTACTGACCATAATTTTTTGCCACTATATTCTCTTCAGTTTCAACTTGCCTGCAAAACAGTGATAATCAAAAAATATTTATAGAGAGAACAATTACATGATCATTTTTTAATTCAACAAGGAGGTTGAATTCATCCAGGTGGTCCTCCACAAACACTTAACTGGCTTTAGTTGAAGAATGTTTTAGCATTGAATATGGTTTTCAAAAAAGGAGCAAAATTTTCTTTTTCACTGGATTTTAAAACCATATGTTAAATAATACTTAAGGACATTTTAGCATTTCTTATTTTGACAATTTTTCTTCTAGTTCCTTACGCTTCCTCTGACTCTTATTTTTGTGTTTTTAAATTAAACCACAAACATATATGAAGACCAAAAATTATGATGGGCTTCAAATTTAAATTTGCAATTAAAAATAATTCTTTAGTACAGACAGACCAAAAGCATTATGAATATGATGCCTAGTTATGATATGTCCCAGCTCCCAAAAGGCTATAACTATTCTTCAGTGCTTGTAACTCCATAAAAATAAGTGACTTGCTGAAATTTAGACTGTATTAGGCAGACTTTTGTTACTATAACAAATTACTGGAAGTAATTAACTTATAAAAGCCTTATTTTACCTCCTGGCTCTGGAGAAGCCACGGAATTCTTGGAAGTTTTAGTCCAAGATTCAGTGTCCCCTTTGTTTTGGACCTCTGATGAGGCAGCACGTCATGGTGGGAGTGGGTAGAGGTGGGAGTAGACCACTCACCTTTTGATCCTGGAAACAGAGCAGTTTCCCTTCAAGGGCATGGCCCCAAAGACCTAAAAACCTCTCGTAAGAATACACCTCCTA